TGACCCCGCCCCCTCCTGCCGCCCCGCCTAACCCTGCCCCTGCCTCTACCGCCTGTCTGCCCCAGGAGCACTGCCTGAATTTCGTCGTGAAGGAGTCGCACTTCAACCAGGTGATCATGATGAAGGAGTTCGAGCGCCTCTCGTCCCCCCTGATCGTGGAGATCGTGCGGCGGAAGCAGCAGCCGCCTCCCCGGACCCCCTCCGACCAGCCGGTGGACATCGGTAGGAAGCCCCGCCCCTGGGTTGGAGTGGGCACCACAGGACCTGGAAATGCTCCTCCACTACAGGAGCAGGGACGAGGCACACGGGCTTCCCGGGACTCAGAACCCCCAGCTCCAGGGGTGCTCTGCAGAGGGCCGTGTGCTAGCCAGCTGCCATCGCCTGGTCATCTCCGGGAGTGGACGTGGGCATCTGTTTCTGGCTGGGGTGTCAGGTCGGATGGCCCAGGGACACGTGACCAGTGGTCCCCCTTCTCCTTTAGGCACAGTGAGGGGGTGTGGACACGGCCTCACAGGCTCGTCCTGCTTGTCCCCACGCAGCCTGGGAAGGGACATCGCAGACTCCTTATTTCTTCACCTCTCCCTGGGCCCTGTGCTGACCTGGCCCCTGGATTTCAGTGACACCTGGAGATACCAGGGCCTTGGCTGCGGGAGGGTTCAGCTCCAGGGCCAGCGTGAGGCCTCTGGCCTGGGAGAGCTTTGTGCAGAACAGCAGTGGGGCAGAGGCAAGAGGAGGGGTTACTCATGGGGCGCTGAGGCTGACTCCAAAGCTGCCCCTTGCTCGGGTTGGCTGGGGTGGTGGGGACACCTGCTCAGGGCCCTCCACACCCCCAGGCACGTCTCTGATCCAGGACATGAAGGCGTACCTGGAGGGGGCGGGCGCGGAGTTCTGTGACATCACGCTGCTGCTGGACGGGCACCCGCGGCCGGCCCACAAGGCCATCTTGGCTGCTCGCTCCAGGTGAGTGGGGAGCCAGACACCAGGGCAGGCAGGGCCCCCATGCCGGCTGGGTCCACTGAGACCGTGTACCCACCCCCTCCCTGCCATGCAGCTACTTCGAGGCCATGTTCCGCTCCTTCATGCCCGAGGATGGGCAGGTGAACATCTCCATCGGGGAGATGGTGCCCAGCAGGCAGGCCTTCCAGTCCATGCTGCGCTACATCTACTACGGCGAGGTCAACATGCCGCCCGAGGACTCGCTGCATCCTCACAGCCGAGGGGCCCCAGCACCCACTCCCGGTGGCATGGAGACACAGCTGTTCCATCTTGGCTGGGAGAGCTCGGCTTGGAGCCGTGCCTGTGCCCAGCGCTAGGCTGTCTAAGGGCTCTCTGACGTGGGAGGCTGGCAGGGAGAGGTCTGCAGCCAGGAGGGACGGGTGGGTCCTTGACCCTCACATCTGCCTGGAGGACAGGGAGCACCAGGCACGGAGTGAGTCCACCTGTGTCACTGCGTGTGGGGTGCAGGGTGCCCTTCAGGGCCTGTGAGGCCCTGGGACAGTTCTGCAGGCATACAGAGGGTAATTTTTAGGGGAGGGTCCAGCAGGCAACATAACGGTTACATCGCTGGACTCCCACACGGTCGACCGTGGTTCGTGTCCCAGATTCAGTGGCTTAAAACTCACTCCAGGCACATGTGTGCATGTACCCAAGATCCTAAGAGGAGAATAGAGGTTAAGGGATTGCAGTGTGGCCATCCTCCTGGGGAGGTAATTACTCACTTTCTCTCCAGTGAGTGCACATAACAACCCTATAGCAAAAAAGTCTCTAAAAAAAAAACATTCAGGAGAGAGGAGTCACCATTCTCTCTGGATCTCGAATGGGAGTTCTGACCCCCTGAGTGGTTCAGAATCTGTTTCGAGAGCCCCTGTGTCTGGGCCTGGCCTGGGGCCTGCCCTGGGGAGGAGCTTGCACTCTGGTCCTGAGCAAGAAGCAGGAGGCGACCACGGCGCCTCTGGCGTTCTGCATTCCCATGGGGTGGGCATGGGTGCTCCAGGGACGTGGGAGGAGGGTGGGAAGGGCCGCTGGGCAGGAGGACGGGCTCCCTTTGGCGGCTGCTCCTTGACCAGCCCCAGCTACCTGTTTGCGGCCCCCTACTACTACACAACAACCGGCTGCAGGCCTCCTGGAAGCAGAACCTGGAGATGAACGTGACGGTGCAGAACGTGCTGCAGGTAGGTGCCCCCCCAAGTGGGGAGGCCCGCCCGCGCCCACCCTGGGTGGGGAGGGGCCGTCCAGGCCGCTGGGACAGTGCCTCACAACCAGCCTTGCAGATCCTGGAGGCGGCCGACAAGACGCAGGCGCTGGACATGAAGCGGCACTGCCTGCACATCATCGTGCACCAGTTCACCAAGGTCAGGGCCCGCCCTCCCTGGGGACCCCTGCTCACGGTGGCCATGGCCAGGGTAGGGGGCTGGAGTCTGGCCGTCACCTGCAGCAGCGGCCCTGGGGAAGAGCCGGCAGGGCTGTCGCCCACTGGCTGCTGCTCACCCGCATCCCCAGAGCTGGCCTGAATCCTGAGGCCTCTGCCACCCTCCCTGGCCCTCCGGTGACTCCCACTTCACCTTGTCTGGGTCTGTGGTCGTCCTGCAGGTCTCCAAGCTGCCTACGCTGCGGTCGCTGAGCCAGCAGCTGCTGCTCGACATCATAGAGTCCCTGGCCTCCCACATCTCTGACAAGCAGTGCGCGGAGCTGGGCGCCGACATATAGGGCCCTGGCGCCCCACCCACCTGGAGAGGGGCTGGCCCACTGCAGAGACAGCACCTGCCTCATTCGCTTGCACCTGCTGGGAGGTGGCTGCACCTGTCGAGCCAAGAGCCAGGGTGCCCAGAGGCTCCAAAAGGAGCTGAGGTGGAATGGGAGGCCCTAAGCACCTTGTCTGAGGACAGAGGTCACCCAGGAAACAGATAAAGCAGAACCCCTCCCAGGCAGCACCTTCTCGTGGTGTGGAGGTGCAAGTGGGGGCCCCAGGCTCAGTGATGGGGACACTGCAGGAAGCAGGGGGCCTGGCCCCACTTGTCAGTAGCAAGAGACTACAGCGGAACCTGGTCTGGGCTGTGGGAAGCTCAGCCTGACTGCTTGCCTGGGTGATGCAGGCACTGGGTTTTGTTGCTGAGGCCCTCCCGACCAGGGCAACCACCTGGACACGTAGCCCTCATACCCCTGCACCGAGTTCTGCCCGAGGGTCCCTCCTCCCACTTGGAGCTTGGGACTAGAAACAGCTGTGGGGGCCAGGAAGTGAATTTGGGGAAGGGCCCTGAGGGCCACTCCCAGCCAGCATGATCCGGGCTTCAAGGGCTGCAGGGTCCCAGCCCCTCTGTGTGCATCTATGCTCAGGGCTGGGCAAGAAGTCAGCAGAGGTGCCTCGCTGGTCCCCGAGTCCACACTGAGTATTTGCTGTCACAGACATGAATCCCTTAAAGCCACAGCGCAAGGCCTCGCTGCAGTCTCCTCTGACAGCTGCCAGTGCCCAGCGTAGGTCTGGCTGTGCAGCCTGACGACTTTGCCAACCTCCGGTTTGGCCAGTCGTGCCCATTTCTGTCCATGCCACAACTCCTGCCCGCGAGGCCCCGCAGCCACACTGGGGAGAGGGGCTGTGGGAGGCCTGCAGCCCGGCCCCTCCCTCCCCTGCCTGGGGGAGACCCAAGTCAAGCCGCTCTCCACCCTCCTCTTGCTGGGCTGGGAGTTGGCAGGCTACTGCATCCTTGCCTGTGGCGCTAGAGAAGGCCCTGCCAGCCCTGATGTGAGATGCAGTTCTTTTTGGGACCAGGAATCCAGAGACCCTCTTGGTCCTGGCTGCCAGGAAGCCAGCGCTCACCTGGGATAAGGGATCAGCCCTCCTGGCCTCAGGGCGTTTCCAGCCTGTGGTTGTGTGCCAGGCAGGCATGGCCCCACCACAGAGGTGGCCTTGCTCAGAGGCCTGGTCTGGAGCAAGTTGGATACCACTGGCCAAGGACAGCAGACGTGTCAAGTCAGCCAGTGCCCTGGTGCAAGGAGAGCTGGGAGGTGGAGGAGGGGAGCCTGAGGCCGAGCTGCAGGGCAGTCGTGCAGAGGCAGTGAGCCAGCACATTGGCACCCTGGCTTGAGGCAGGCAGCTGGGCACACCGGACGTGAGGCAGTTGTGGGGCCGCAGCCATACCCCGGGCTCCCATGAAACATGGGCCTTGCCACCCACAGGGCAGCCTCACCACACAGCCCCTCCCAGAGGGCTGGCCTGGAAGCCCCTTCGAGCAGCTGTCAGCCAACCCTGCTCTATGCAGACCCTGCAAGTGGCCCCTCAGCTGTCCCGTGTGTGATTTGAATAAATGAGTCTGGGCCGAGGGCCCAGGAAGCAAATCTCAGGACACCGTGTGGCAGCTTCTAGGACTGGGAAGTCCAGTTCCACTGTGCTCCTTGGGCTGTGGTGGCTGGGGACCTGCAGGGTCAGGTCTGGTCACAACTGCCCTGTGCACCCCACTGTTTCCCAGGGGCAGCTGCAGCAAGGCCCCAGTCCCCATAGGTCAAAGGAAACCAAGGACAGGCCAGGACCACACTCCTGCCTCTGAGTTCTACCCACCCCTTCCCAGACTTTTGGGCTAGAAATGTAGCTTCTTGGGGCCTCGCTGCTGCTGACCATACAAATCAGGTAGTTGGTGGCTGCTGTCCCAGGTTTTTAGCTGAGACGGAAGCCTGCCTGTGCATCTGTGTAAGAACTGGGTCTACACTGGGTTTTACACATGTCCTCAAAGGCTGTCCAGGCCCCAAGGAAAGGGTCCCTTCTGAGATGCGGTGGGGCATGGAGCTGCCCCAGCAGGGATGTCTGTTTCCCGTCTATACCGCGCGGCACAGGGCTATGAGCGCCAGGCCCTGCTCTCCACAGCCAGGAGCTTAGGCTCAGGGTCTGAACCCTCTAGGGGATGCAGCAACTCTCAGGGGAATAGGCCTGGTGCCGAGAGAGACTCCAGCGCCCCGCTGGGCTGGACAGCAGGGCTTCTTTCTAGAATCCATTTTATTATGGCATTTGGTGAGTCCGATGGGTGCAGCTCGGATCAGGCCCCTGTCTAGGCAGGCTGGGGGGGGGAGAAGCCCAGCCGCCAGCAGCCCCTCAGGCCATGCTGTTGCTCAGTTGCATGGCGAAGTCCTGCACGTGCTCCTTCAGAGTCTGGCGGGCATCTGCCTGGGCCCGCTTCTCCCGTGCCCGCTCCTGCTGCAGCTTGGTCAGCCGCAGTCGCAGCCGTTGTTCCCGCCGCTTACAGGCCTGCAGCTGGCGCTGCGCCTTGTCCAGGGCATCCAGGGCCGCCTCGGCCCGCCGCTTCCAGAGCAGGGCGCTGCCCACCTGGTAGCTGTGCTCGTTCTGGATGTAGGCTCCGGCCGGCGGGGGCAGGCGCAGCATGTAGGCTGAGGGCGAGACGGGCCGCGGCTCGAGTGGGGAGGGCTGCGGCTCCGGCGAAGGCTGGGCACTACAGCCCGCTTCATCTGCCTGTGCGCCCAGGGGGCCCAGGAGGTCTGAGAAGGGGCTGCTAAGGCCAGGCTCCAGCCTCCCAGCTGGGGACGCAGGCAAAGTGGCAGGTGCCGAAGCCTCTTCCACAGGAAAACAGGTGACGTCAGCAGGTGGAGGTGGAGAAAATGGAGTCGTGGGGCCTCGGGCCTCAGGGTAGCTTGGGGGAGAAAGAGACGAGAGGTCAGGCTTGCCAGACCCGGCTTCACCAGTCTCCCTGACTCCCACCCCGCCAGACACATACACCTGAACCTGCTGCAGACTCTACACAGCAAAAACTGCCCTGCAGGACTGCTGGTGACTAGCCCAAAGCCCAGTCCCTCAGCCCTGGGGCAGGCGAGAGGGACCCCCACCTGCAGACATACCACTTCCTGCACCGCCGGAGACGGCTGACATCGGGGGTCCCAGGTGGGAAGCTGTGTCCCTTGGTCTTGGTTGTCCGGCGCAACTTGGAGAAAGACTCAAATATGGTGGGGACTGCCCCCTCCTTCAGCCTGTGGTACCCACTGTGGGAAAAGCAGCCCAGATGAGCCGGGGACAGGAGCACAGAGCCAGCACAGCCTCATCGCCCAGCGCGGGATCCCGGGCCAGTGCTGTGGCGGCTAGCAGTACCACCACCCTAGGGTTGGGAAATACGACGGGTAGAGGGACGCCGATCTCTTCCCTGGGTACTCCTCAAAGTTGAGGTATGTGGGAAGGCTCCACCAGAAGTCGTTCTTTTTTTTCTTTCTTTCTTTTTGAGAAGTGTTTGCTATAGGGCACGTGCGCTCGCCAGAAAGACAGAGAGAGATAGAAAGCGAGAAATCACCCCCTAGGGGGAATGCCCACACCGCAATCCCTTCTCCTCCTTTCTCCTCTCGGGATCTTGGGCACGCACGCACACGCGCCCGGCATGAGTTTTAAGCCACCGGGTCCGGGACGTAAACCGCAGTCAACTACATAGGAGTCCAGCGACATAGCCATTATGTTAACTGCTGGTCCCCAGAAGTCTTTCATTTTAAAAATTTTTGCTACATGACACGTGTGCTTATCAGAGAGGGAGAAAGCTTCCTCTGCGGGGAATGGTCACACTATCACTTCTCCATTTCTCTTTTGAGGGATTTTGGGCGTGTGTTTCTCAAGCTTCCTGGTCTAGGATTCGAACCTTGTACTCAGCCATGTAGGATCTAGTTCCTTAACCACCAAGCCATGGGTGGCTGCACTAGCAGTTTTTTATTTGTGGATTTGCTGAGGACTGGGACTCTGAAGAACACTCTTTGGGAAGGATTTCGTTTTGTTTTGTTTTTGGGTCATGGGCCCAGTGATCCCAGCAGTGCCAGTACTGTGAAGAACTGGGAGGAGGCGGCGTCCTCAGAGCCGAGGCAGACTGTCCTCATGCCAGGTGCCCCGTTCTGCCTGCTGCTCCAACGCCTCCCACCCTGTCCCAGGGCTGCCTGGCGAGGCCCACCTGATTCCCACCAGCTCGAAGCAGTTTTCCTCGAAGTGTTTGGAGCAGAAGTAGATGTACTCGGACGCCGGGTCCCACAGGCCCTGGCCGCTGGGGTCCAGCCGCTGGCAGTTGGCCAACCACAAGCCTCGCCTTGGGTTGTCCTTCTTGGGAAGTCTGCGGAGTCACAACCCCATGGGCACCAGGCTGCCCGCCCCCGGGCTCATGCTGCCCGTGCTCCCCGACGGGAAGGCCAGGCCCTGCACAGGCTGTCATGAGACCACCCGCCCGGGCACAGACAAGGAGAGTGGGCCTCGAAAAGTAAAGCAACTTGGTCAGCATCCCGCTGCAGGTGGAGCGGGTCCACGCCTAGAGGACCGCCAGCCTTTGGGACAGGACTAGGTCCCGCCGGGACCGCCCCCTTCCCGCGTCCCTCCCACAAGTTCAAGCGTCCCCAGGAGCCTGAGAAACTCCTGCGCAGTCGCAGTCCCGCGAGGCGGGCAGCACCGGCGCATGCGCACGGGAGCCTTGGCGCGCCAGCACGCACGCGCGCTGACCTGTGGAAGGAGATGCCGCGGTTGCGCGTCTCGCGGGTGTCCCGTGTGCAGCAGCCGGCGGCGGAGCAGTGACGCGGCATCTGGGGGAGAGGCGGGAGCTAGGTCGCGAGCAGCTGTACGGGCCCGGAGGGGCTCGTGCCCCCAGCCGCCGCTCCACTCCACGGGGCCCCGACCCACGCCCAGTCCGATCTCGTCCCAGTCCCGTCCCAGCCCGTTTTCTTGACTCCGGTCAGCGGCACTCACGGTCTCGCCATTGCTGCGCCGCCGAAGTCTCGCGATGGGTGGCGCGCGGCGGAAGTTAGTACCGCACACTCGAGCGGGCGGTGCTCGGCCGAGGGGCGGGGCGGGGCGACGTCCTACGCGAGCACCGGAAGCGGCCGCCGTCGCGCATGCGTGTCCCCAGCGTTCTGCGCTCCGTCGCTGTCCCCCTCTTGGGGCTCTTGTCCGATCCAAGCCAAAGCCATTGTTCTCTGGAAACACCCCGGCACGGGAGAAGCGGTCCCAGCGGGTCGGCGCGGAGCAGCCCGAACCGGCAGTGCCCGGGGAGCCGCGGGTGGCCGCCCGCCCGGAAAGGCCCTTGACCGAGGAAGCTCCACCGAGAAAACCGGCCGGGCGCTGCACGCAAGAGCCGGACAAAATTCTGCTCAAACGTACCCCCGGGGCCAGGCTAGGACTGGGGGGTCGGCTGGCGTCCTCACGGACTGCACTCTGGGGACATGTGGGCAGGAGGGTCTGCTGTAGTGACCTGCAGGAACGTGACAGCCGGGGAAAGCTGAGAACGCCCACGTCTGCGTGACAGCAGCCAGTCCACCTTCCAACAGACCGACCCGGCGGAGGTGGCATATCCCGGTATCCCAGGGACTTGCGGAGGCCGAGGCAGGGGGAGTGCCACACGGCCTGACCCGGTCCTAAAAAATCACTTAGGGGTCCAACTTAGCGGTCAGAGGGCCAGCATGGCCCCGCAAAGTGTGAACGCTGGCCCCGGGGCTCGGCAAGTACCCCGGGCAGAGGTGCCCAGAAGGCGTTGCAGGTGAACATGCCTCCTGGTGGTGGCGAGGCGCGCTTTTTTAAAAAACGGGGGTGCTACGTAGTGGTTAAGGCGCTTAACCCCCTCATGGCCAACTGCAAACCCAGCAGCTTGAAACTCACGTGTGCGAGCATGCCTAAAACCTCGAAGGGAAGGGACCAGCAGATGGCCTAAGGGTTATGTCGCTGGACTACACGTGGCTAACCTGTTAGCCTCCCCAGTCAGGCGGCTTCAAACACACTGGGCAAACGGAGAAGGGATTGCAGTGTGGCCATCCCCTCTGGGAGGGGATTTATCGCTTTCTCTCAGGCAGGCACCCTATAACAAACTCTTGAAAAAAAAATATCAAGGGAAGAATGTAAGAGGGGATTGCGTTGTGGCCATCCCTAGAGGGTGAGTTCTCACTTTGGCTCTCCTGTTAGCACATCATACACATTAGAGCCAAAAATCAAAACCAAACAAAAACACCTCCGGGGGGCCAGCAGGTGGATGGTGGTTAAGGATGCTGGCTTCCCACCTGGTTGACCTCAGTTCAAGTCCTGGACCTGGTAGCTTGCTTT